GCTCTAGATCTGTAAAAAGTCCTAACAACAGGTGCTGGTATCGATGTTGATGTGGGGCTTCAATGATAAAGAGAAGAGAGAAATCATTTCTTTCCAAGTAAGGCTACTTTTAAGCAGGTACGAGTGATGCCATCTGAGGAGCTTACTGAGCAGCACCTTGTTGAGCTGTCTATAACTGTGTTCACTCCCTACAACTGTACTGTCCCAGGGTTGAAAAATGGGTGGGCAAAATTCAGTGTTACAGAAGCGGCAGAACGATGTGGGGTGTGGAGGGGAGGGGGAAAAGCTTTAGAGAGCCAAAGAATATTAGTCAATTTAAGGAAAGCAAGACACAGAGGACACTCAAGAGGTAAGCTGGGCAACTCTTGATGGAGAAGGGTTTATAAGGAGTTAAACATTTTTTTTGAAGGCAAGGTTCTATGAGAATATCTGCAGGAAGGGGGTCCTAGCAGAGCCTGATGCGCTTGGGGAAGGTTTTGATTAAAAAACAGAGTTTGAAAACAAGGCATTATCTGGCAGTGCCTGCTGGCTGTAGCATTTCTGAGGGCCCTTCTGATAGCCTTCCCTTTCTACGCTTACTCTTCAACTCTTGCAGGGCAGAAAAATCTTGTTTCCCATCCTTATGGCATCCCATCCTCTCTCTGTACCTGTGGCTCTACCCCACTGCCCTTCAGCATAGCAGCCATTCTCTCTGACTCTGCTTACGCAGTCACTTGGCATTTCCCAGACTGTTACAACTAAAGGGAAAGGGACACAGGAGAGCTGAAAGGGGCGGGACGGAATTGCACAAAATGGAAGTCTGGTTGGAAAAGATTCTGTTGTTCCTGATGATCCTGAGTAGTCTTTCAACCACTTATTTTCTCTTCAGCTCTCTGTTAAAGCAAAACCTACTGCAGTAGCAAGGGGAAATTCCCAACAGATAATCCCATCTGCTGTCCTTAAGCTGACACTTACCAAAACCTCTTCTTATGGCAAATATAATTATTATTTACTCTCAGTGGTAACTTAGGGCACTGAATCTTTTCCAAGCTTGTGTAAGTGAGGGAGAATTTTTAAAGGACTGGAGCAGGAAGTTGTAATATTTGTCTGACTGTTTTATTTTGTTTTTATTTAAATTCCACATTTGGTTGAAGGGAGGGAAAAATATTTTTCCTCTGCTTTTATTCTGGTACTGATCAGTGGTAAGATGGAACCTGGTCAGTCAGACCAGTATAAAAGGCAGAGCCATTCTTTCTTTTGCTCAATTCTGGGGAATTTGGAATAATTTTTATGGCTTGCTCGTTCTCCTTCCAAGGCTGTACACAGTTCTAAAAAGAGGACAGAAATGCCATTTTGCAACCAGTTTCAAAATTTGTTTTCATTCCACATTTTATTAAATCCAATGCTTTTCTAATAGTTTCTTCAGGCTGAATATTGTCAGAGGGTCACTTTCAAAATGAAAAATCAGAATTCACAGAAGATTTGAGGTAAAGGCAGTGGTCTGACATGTAGTCCAATACCTGGCTCCACAGAAGCAGCTTGCGGATTCACCTCAACTGCAGATGCAACCTCAGACTGCAGGTTCACATTCAGCAATGTGGTAATCCATTTTTTTCCTTTGCTCTGCTTCATCAGGTTCCTGCTGACTGCTTTGCGTAAATATTAGCAGATCTTATTTTCTTCTTCTATTAACCATTTAAAGAAAATGAGGTCTTATCAGCTATGGAAATAGTTGGAAAGCTATGGAAAGCAGGTGCTGACACAAGCCAAGGGAGAGAAGGAGGAAAATAGTTCTTTCAGAGACAGCTTCCTTTGAAGTGGGCTTAAGTTGATCTTCAGTTTTGGAACTTACATGCACATTAGGCAAGTTGGGCTGGGGAAGCTTAACAGCAACCATCTGCTGAAGGATGGCACTGAAGAGAAAAAGTACTCCATTGATGAGCAGTTCTCCTACTAAAGATGAGACCTGTCACTGAGATGCTGAATTACCTCAAGAGGCAATCAACAAAACAGGCACTGTTACTGGACACTAGCCCAGGTGTCAGTCTCATCAACAAGTTTTCAGTGGAACTCTTTTCCTGTAGTGATAGACTGAGGTTAGTGTCTTTGCCATATTCATTTGAGAGGCATGAGGGGCTGATCTTTCTTGTCAGGAATAGCCTAACCCAGGAACAACACAGACAGCATTGGCTTATGCTGGAGATGCACTCTGCCAGCGAGTGCCCTCTGAAAACTTCTTTGCAGCACATGAAGGACAACATGATATCTTCTAGAAAACCACAAAGGTTTTTGAACCTTCTCTACATGTTTTTAAACCTGGGTACACTCATTACTCGATACTTTGAGTTTGCTCTATATGTAGTAACAATGGACTATATGATCTGTTTGAGAAGATAAAATAATTATATGTTATATCAGAATGTTTGTACACGCACATAGGGGTCTATCTTTTACTGCCTTTAAGGTTTTCCCTTTTAGTTGAGAGTGTCTGAGAAAACAAGGCATGTCTGACTTGCCATTTCAAAAGCAGGTGAATGCTTCAAACTAAGCTTTGTGCTGTTCGTTTGGACCAAAAAATACCAGACCACTTCACTGAGATGGACCAAACACATCTTTCTACAAAATACCATTTCACACAAACAAATCCGCAGCTAGATTCTAAGAGAGTAGTACCAGAAACATACTTTGTAGTATGATGACTGATTAATAGCTGTCACAGCTCATAATAACACAGATATGCCAGCAAACCATGCATTAAAGCTAACAGTCAGTCTTGATCCCTGCTTGTTTCATGCTTTAAAGTAAAAACCCCAGAAGTGGAAAAAAAAAAAAAAAAAAAAAAAAAAAAAAAGCCAAACACTTTTTTTGGAAACAATTTAAGCTGAAGAACTGATCTGTTCTCCTGTGATCTCACTTTAGTTTAAGAAAATCCTGAGGTTTCATCGCTGAGTTACAGTAATTGTTGATGTGTCATTGTTCATTTTAGCAATAAACTTTTCCACTTGTACTTAGTCAGTTATTAAAATAAAAATTGGTGATTTTTAATGGAGACAGCATAGTTTCCAGCAGATTTTTTCCCATTCGAGTTTTATTCCCGAAATTAGCACAAGGGAAGGCAGCTTGTGTTAACTCTTTCTTATGCTAAACAGCCCTTGTTAGTTTAACAGAACAAAAGCTGTGATTGTAAGTGCAAATATGTGTGAGAATCTAGAGTCAAAGCACATTGGTGGCTTTTTTCTGAATGACTTGCTTTGGTGCAAGTTTCCAAATAAAGATTTAATTGCGCCCACTTGCATCAATTACAATATCAAAGCGCAGAAGTTATAAAAACAGAAGGTGCATACACAATGGCTATTTTACAGTCTGTTTTGAAAACAGATTAAACACAGTTATAATGATCATTTCTTCAAAAGAGTTTAGAGATTATCAGAAACAGAGCAGACTGCGGATTTTAATTGAAAACTCAGTCTGAAATCATTCTGTCCTTCCACCCTGGCTTGATCTCCTTCATGGCATTCAACAGAATAGCTAATGAGTGGTTTTAACAGAGGGAGATTTCTAACCAAGAGACACATTCAGTTGCAATACCCAGCTCCTAATTTTGCAGTGCCTCGGGTAGCTGATCTCATCTTCTGAAATTGTGCTTCGATGCATCAGTGCTTAGCACCTGTACCTATAACTTAGCAATTCACTCTAAGAACACAGGCGTTGTTCACAGGCCATTCAACTTTGAAAATAACTATCTGTAAAACTCCAAAGAGTAGTCTGGCTTCCATTTATATGGAAGCCCTTTGTGACTCTGACATTTCAATCTTTCTCTCAGGAGGACTGAATAAAAAATAATAATAATAAAAACAACAACACAAGAACAGAGCACCTTTTTATATTTTGAATATTTACAGTCACAAAGACCTTTGTTTAAACCTCACGGATTCCCTGGAAAGTTTGCTTATGCCTATTGTATGACTTAGTACAGGTTGAAAAGAAATAATATCAGTGATACTTTTGAGAAATGACGGCCTAAGTTTAAATCTCACAAAAAATACGTTTGATTTATACAGCTCTACAGTTACTGGACGAAGACATAAATATAACTGAGCTCCATAACATATTGGTTTGTATAAAGTCAGGAATATACTGAAGAATGTGGAGAAAGTTGAAGTGATGAAGACAGAGAAAATGCCTTTACGAATGTAAAATGTCTAATGGATAAGATTATTTCATCTTTTTTACACAAAGACTACATTTTCTGAAGGTCCTTATTTCTACAAAAGAATGATTTTACAGGAAAGGGCTATCCCTAAAAGATTTTTTTTTTTTAAGACTGTTTTGTAGGAGCTTGATTCCTATTTAGTGGCAACCCTGCCAACAGGAACGGATTGTAAGTGAATGATCCTTAGAGTCCCTTCCAACCCAATGTTCTATGATTTTTTCCATGATTTTTCCAAAGCAGCTGTCACTGCTGAGAGTGCTTTGCATCCTTATGCATGCCTCAGGTGTTATCCACAGTGTGACTCCTTCGACTCCTCCTTAACACATACAGACCCCAACAGCAGTGTAGTGCGTATCACTGCTTTGCTCAATGGTGCCAGCCTCCTATTTTCCTGCATTTGAGGTGAAACCCAGGAAAATGAGCAAGCACTACTTGTAGTTATTGCCTCATGCTGGGATGGGAGAGAGAGATACATTATCTCCCAGAACCTTTCAGCTGCTCAGAAACTCTCTGTTTGCCTGGAACCCCACTCCTTGGTTGCCACAGCTCAAAGAATGCGTAAGCCATCCCTTGTATTCACATAGCATTGCACTGAGTTTTGTTCTGCAAAGAGTTTGTACCAGCATTTTTGAAGAGTAAGGACCTTTTGGAGGAATTGCTGCCTCTTAAATCTACTTGGCTCTTTGCTCTCTTAAATCTCAAACATGAATTCTAACAGTGGTTTAAATCATAGCAAATTTCTCTGAGGGGATTAAGCATTTTAATCACGCTGACATGAAAAATATCCGGTGATATATCCATTGCATAATCAAGAATAAAAGTTAAAATCTTCTAAAAATATTAGCTAATTTGGAGTATCAAGGACACCAGCTAAGGACACAGAGGGATTAGCAGTTGCTGCCAAAGATAGCAAGGTGGCCAATTCAAACACATTACAAAGCCTTCCAAAAAAGTAAAAAACCACTGTGGTTTTACATCAGATCATATTTCCCTGTGGTTCTGTCAGTATCTTTTTTTTTTTTTCCATTTTATTATTGCAAGCAGCCTCGGAAACAAATTTAGAAATCACCTATATCTCACAGAAGTTCAAGTGCTGGTCTGACAGGACTGGTGATGGACATCCACACCACAGTCCCTGTGGGGCTGCTCTGCATCCTCTGCTAGGCAGAGCAGGCAGCCGGGCTTTGCAGGGAGCAAGCTGCCTCTCTCAGCACATTGGGCTGCTGGGAAGGCTGGCAGGCAAGCTCTTGTGTACATGGGGTTGGAGCTGCAGAGTCGTTTGTTCGTGATAGACTTATCTCTGGTGGCTCTTTCAGGTTGCCATCACTGTGGAGTCCACAGCAGGGTCAGTTCCTGCGCCAGTAGGAGTGTAGGCCTCATTAACACTGAGATCATGAATCTCCACTTTTTTTTCCCCACTTTCATACCTTCCCCTAACCACCTTGCTGTTTTTGTTTTCTTTTGTTTTGTTTTGTTTCCCCCCCCCCGCCCCCTCCCTTCCTGGAGATGCATCTGCTTGAGCCTTGAAATAACAGACTCTAGGAGAAGGATACACTGGCTTAGAGAGGAGATAATTGAGTAATTCAGAAATCTTTGAACAGAAGAGCAGAATGTCACATGATGTTGCCTATTTGTTTTAATTACCTGGTATTATGGGGCCAAGATGTTTGGAAGTCAAATAACTGGAATGAGACTTTACAATCTACATTTGGATGGATAAATAAACAGCATATTTTTCAAGAATGCCAAACACTGCTGCTGTCTTCACCTTCCATGAGATGAGCAAAGAGCTTCCAAGAGAAGTTAGCTTGTCAGACAAGAGAGTGGCTCTGGTGAGCCTGAAATGCAGCATAAATGAGAAGTGGGGACAGGACCTAGCTTTGGGAAAGACAAGAGTCCCAAAATTTATGCCTGCACATTTCTAGCAAGCGTAGTGAGAGGTATGTGTTTTTTCCATAAATAATGCTTGATTACTTCTTAAAGCATATCATTAATGAAATCTGAAGGAAAACTATCCAAATTAATGAAGGCTATTGGCAGAAGACTGAGAACTTTTTTTGAAGCTGTGGCAGAATAGTCATGAACACAGAGACATTCTGTGAACCAAGCAGTGAAGCTGATCTCAGAGCCATAAGAGAGAGGTGTTACAGTCTAAAACAAATGGCAGAGCCTTTCTCATTTTACGCATTCAGGGATAAGCCCAGCAGGGCTGTGTGGGCACATGGCTGGGAGCTTTGCTCTGAATTCACACCAGTGCCATGCAGCAGAATTAGAATTGCAGCCCCTGGGGAACGGTGCTCTTTTGGTCAAAGTATTTTACAGATAGTTGCCAGGAACTGAAATCCAGTGGAAACAGCAGTTTCCAAACTAGGACTTAGCCTCTGGGAAAGAAGCGGGTGGGGGAAATGGGGGGGAGGCACAAGAGGTGCTGTCAGGGCTGCAAGGAAAGATGAGAGGCTGTAATTCTGAATGTTGTATGGGTGGGTTTGGGAGGAGAGGGGGAGAGAAGGGTCATGAAAGGTAGAGTTCATTTGGGAGAGGGGCACGGGAAAAACAGTTTGGGAAATGCTGCAGCAGAAGCCTCTTTTTTTTTTCTCCCTCCATGTCCCCTCTTTTCCATTGTTGCTTCGTGAACAAAAGCAGCCCATGCGAAGACAAAGACTTAAAACTAAAAGCCTTGCCACATATTTCCTCATCTTAGTATTAAATATCTCCTGCAATATTTACAATTGTTATACCATAAATAGAAATGCTTGAAGACAGAGCTCATTTCCTAGTTTCTCAGAAAATGACATCCTCTTCCTCCTTGCCAATTTCCCACATCTCTCCGTGCTTAGCACTGGTGGCCTGCGCTTCCCCACCATTGTCACAGTTATTCTCTTTTCCAGCAGCCATGGCCTCACATTCTGTAACCTTTGCCCTTTCATTCGTCCAGAGCCAAAATGCTACCTTTAGAAAACTAATGTACCAGAGAAAATGGAAGTATGAGGCTGGGCAACACAATCTGCTATTATCTTACCTTGTTTTGTTTCCAAGGTTTATTTTCTAGAATTCACCTGTGAATTTTAATGCAGGAAATGTTTTCTCAAGGAACCAGTGCATCTGATGACTTGAGATCTCCTTGCCAGCATAATCTCTTGCACATTCCCTTTAAAACGTAACCTCTACCTACCGACTTGGAAAATTTAAGGCAGAGCAAATATCTACTGAAAAAGAAGAGTACTTTACCTGCAGGTTTCTTTGAAGTCTTTTGTTACTATTAGAAATTTCAGCGCGTTATCTTCCCATCCCCAAAATCAGCTTTCTGCTGACACAAGAACGCTTCACCTTCTTTTTGATCCTACAAGTGAAGCCATGTGGAAATGATTGAGAGTGACGTCATGATTTCAGCATTATGATTTAAATCTGGGATCAAGCAGGAGGAAGGGAAAAAATTACACGCATCCATGATTACTGTGTTCAGGTCATTCAGATGCAGGCTTAAAAAAATAAATTCTTGTTTCAGTGAATATGAAAAGTGCCATGGGATCTTTTAATAAAAACTATTACTTGCTTCATATACACAGGCAAAATTTTGGCATCTTGCTCAGTCTTTCATTGTTTATGCAACTTTTTGATTGCTGTTGTCAATAACAGAGGTAACAGCATTACAGTGGTGCTGTATGTAAATAAGTTTTTGACCTTTCTGAAGGAGAAGCACGTATTTCCATAAGCACCAGGCTCTTCCAGCCTCTCAAGTTGAGCACCTGCAGCACGAAACACTCAAAACCACCGAGTTTAAAACACTCAGAATTATTATCAATCATAGTAAAATTTAGGTAAATTTATGGAAGGTGACCTTAAGGCTACTGACACAGGAAAAACATAAAGGTTAGAGAAAAACCATACAAGGGTTAGAGAAATTGGCTTTCAGAGAGAAATTGAAGGAAATGAAGGAATGCTTAGTTCATTAAAAAGGAGACTAAGAGGGGATGGGACAATTTGTCATCAGGATGAAAGAGTTCCTTAGTTTCCTAGAATAATTAAGAGCAGTATGGGAGGCTGATGCCACAGACTGGCAAGGTGGAACATATGGATTTTCTGAGCTGATGTAATTTGCCATTGGAAGTCACTACAAACAAAATGCTGAATCATCTTCTCATGTCATGAAGAACGAATGATCCTATTCAGAAGACTTGATGTAGGCAGTCTTGGGTTCTGCTTTACTCTGTGTAATTTGCAGCTCAGAGGAAGCTGGCAAGAATGTGATCCACAGGATTAGTAGCTCACTTCAAATTGTATGAATCCAGAAAGACCTTGCAACATTTTTATTTCTATTATTTTCATTTTTAGTAGAGCTCATGGGAATATGAGTTTTCCTATAACAGGCCTGTAACAACGTGAGAAGTGAAATTAGAGGACAGAACAGAAATACTAAAACAGGAGCAAAAGTGAGCTGGGATCTACAGAGACAATGCAGTTCTTTAAGCTTTCAAGCAAGATATTAGATAAATAAGTTTTCTTACGTAGGAGATGCCTTCTACCACCAATAAATAATGATCATCTCTAACCTCTGTTTTAACACTATGCTCTTACTCAAAGTATGTAAATATTTCACTGTAAGTGAGGACCTAGATTCATATATGCTTTCTAACTTGCAGTCTTCATTAAATCTCTCTTATACCACACATGCACAAAACATCAGCAAATAAAGGAATGAGACAAGAACTTTCAGCCCCAAGGCTCATTTCAGCGTGTAAGCTTCTTCTTGCTCCTCCAGGGATATTCACGTCAGTGTCTAAATAGAGACAAGACATCTACACGCCTGAAAATACATGTGCTCAAACTAGGGAAATCATGCATGAACTGGTATAGGAGTTTATGTATTTACAGAGGGAAAAATTGGAGTAGTTTTGTATTGTGAAGCACAATTCTCATTCCACAGTTAACATGAGCATCACCACGATCAGTTCAAGCAAACAAAAATTGTCAAAAAGACAAGTTTATCACAAAGTAATGATATGACTTTGGAAATATCTGTTGTACCAGTTCATAGCTGATATATAGTTGCTCAGATTTTTATGCACAAGATATTGCCAACCCCAAAGGAAATTTACTGTTTAGACCCTGGTGACTCCATTTGATTGCAAGTGCTATGCTATCTTCCTATAACGCGAGTACTAAAAAAGTACATCCACTGAGATGTGGACCTTCTGAAAGCAGTGTTTCCAAGAACAGTCACTTGGGAGGAATCACACAGTAAGCACAAGTTTTTAAAAATAAACATATGTATTATACATGATGTATGCAAAATGATGTGTGGATATTTACACTGGTTTCACATTCTACCAAGTACAAATATTCATGTGCAAATTTACCTTCAGAATAATAAAAAAAAACCAAACAAGTAATGACAATTATAAGATTAACAAAGATTATAGTGTTTAGATTATATATAAATAAATACATATATATAAAACCACCAATTCTATTTAACTAATAAATTTTAAAAAACTAGTAAACTGTTAATTGAATTGACTCTCTTTAAAAATTGCTCTCAGAAGTACAAAATGGCAAAGAGCCATTGCTTACCATAACAGTGAATATCTACCCCCCATATATAATAAGCACAGCTTTCATATTATGCTGTTAAATATAATCTCCTGAGTGAAATGGACTTGAAACCCAGAGTTACTGGCTAAGCAATGACCTGGAAGGGAACCTATCTAGGAGGTATCAACCTGAAGGAGAGACAAAGCTATTTCCACCAACGAAGGGTTTCCAGGACAAGAGTAGAGAGGTGGCAGCTTCAGGTAGAAGACTACAGGCAGGAGCTACAGTAGGTTCAGCTCAAAGTACATGATGCACACCTCCCACTTGCAGGTACCTTGGTGCCCTTAGATAGAGGGCTGACAACCCCCCAGTCATCAGAACCAACAGCTGGCTGGAGACTGAGTTTCCCTTTTGCTCTTTGCTAAACAAATGGAGACACTTGTCTTGTTGGAGTTGCAGTAACCTGCAGTAATCCTCTCCATACAGCTTGCCCAATACAGAATACATATACTGTATGTAAATGCTTCTATACAATGTTGTATAATCAATGAATATATAGATGTTATAATTATGAAATAAACAAGACAGTTTGGCTAAGAAGGTTATAACAGAAAAAGAATAAGTAAGAGTGCTTACCCTTGTCCTGAGCTCGCTGTAAAACTCCAAAGGAGGGATCTCCAAAAGAGATCCTTCCCCACTGGTAGTCAGCTCTTAAATGGGTCTAGGAAAGGTGGAGCCAGGCTCCACCCCTTCCTTCCAGCAGCACAGGTGAATTGCCTTCTCCTATGCTCCCATCGCTGACTCATTGCTTGCCTCCGTGATCAATCAGAGCTTCAGGCCATGATTCAGCAGATCCCATACAAATGTGAAGTTTTCTGGAAGTCTAAATCCAGATCTTTGTTTGCACCAATTTTAAGTCATTACAATGGCCCCAAGTGTCCTCCCTCCCTCCCAGATCTACCCTGGCTTTCTTTCTTAAGCATCCCAGACATTACAGTTTTGATGGATCCACCCAGTCCCTGGGCTGTAGCTCACAGTGCTTAATTGCTGTAGCAATTTAACTTGAACCATATACTTTCTGAGACAGCAATTCCATACATATTTAAAGTGATGTAGTGAAAAGGATCTCTCTGAACTGAGACATTGACTTCAATGAGGATTTCGCTTGTGTATGCACAACAGAACTGCACCAATAACTGCTGATAAAGGAATGGCTCTTTGAAATACATTAGGTTCTTTGATGTTTTTTGTTTTTTTTTTTTAAGGAGGAAGTTAAAAGAAGGAAAAAGAACAATTAGGTTCAATGATCAAGTATTCAGAGCACTTAGAAATGCTCACATTAATGTGTAATTTAATAAGGTATAGATTACACACATGTTCAAGACTATAGCTGGGAATATAAAAGAGAATCCTGAGCTCAAGTTGCACAGATTATCATTCGGACTAGAGCCGCTGACCAGAGGTTGTGTGTGGATCCAGTTGTTTTAGTTGAATCTACATGGACTTTTTTGTCCATTTTTTGAAAAAAGGTGACTTGAAAAACTGACATGTTGGAAACCTGTAGTAGATAAATGTTTCCAACTTTCTCAGAGAAATACAGTAGGATATCATGGCCTATGTAACTAGCTACTAACAGATGGAGAAGACATAATATTAACATATTATGATGGTTATTTGTTTGTTAGTCAGTGAGGGAATGCTTACAGCTCTTCCATTTTTAAAATCGCTCTTTTATCCCCATGACCTCCTATAAATCTCTACACCTGTTTTATGTGTTTACTCCTGGCTCTTTCATAAACTGCAACTATCTATATTAATGAGGTTGTTTGTTTCTTCCTTCTTCTCCTGTTCTATAGCAAACAAAATGTTAAATACTTGCACAAACTGTTTTGAGTGCAATAAATATTAAATAATATCATGGGAGACCTGTACATCTCTTGGAAGGTACGTCATCAACCTAGCTGACATACCAGAAACACATGAGCATGGAGCACAATCAGCAAACTGGAATTTTTTGCAACGCTGTAATTTTAAAATATATATTCTTTAGCCAATTGTAGATAGATAGATAGACATAGGCAAAAGTATGTCAAGGACTACATTCTTGTACTTTATTGCCAAGTTCTTACTCTCTTACTGGGAATATTGTATTTTGTATAAATAATTAAGCATCCAAGCAAAGCAAAACTGATTTTAAAGCCCCAGTGGTTATCACATCTCTGGTCTGTTGTTCAGAGCTCTTTTTCAAACCGGAAAACAAAGCAATTTTTAATCTAGATTGTAGGTAAATGATGTAACCAACAGGCTTGTCTCACATTTCCATGAAAACAGTTCCTTCTCACATTTCCACGAAAATAAATGTTTTGTCTGCTCCAATGTCAATCTAGCAAATAAATATTCACTGGAGAGAAAAAAACATTTCTTGTCCATGCGTAGGCTTGAGAAGTGTGGCTTCTATAAATACAGGCTAGTATTAATAGAAATACTTGGAAATAATTTTTGTCATCTTAACGGAAGAAGCAATCAACCTTTACTACTTAGATGGAAGATCTAAATTAAAATCCTTGTTTCATAAACATTTCTGTATCTGGGGCTTTAATCAGCTGCTGTTAATCATGATTTATTTTGTATTTTTTTTCCTCAGTTTTATTTACATTTTACTGCCATACACATTAAGATTAAAAATTTGTTATAGAAGATCAATACTCTATAGTACAGTAAGATAACAAAGCACCAAACTATGGCCACCTGTGCTTGTTCCATGAATGAGAAGAGGTTTTTAACCAACACTCTTCTAATTCAATGGAGATTCTCAAAACACTGTTAATTTCCTGATGCTGTCAGAGATTCAGGCATATCTATGATGACATAGAATAACAGTGGCTACTCATCCTTTTTTCTCTTTTGGACTCACATAGACATGTGCCATGATGCCATGGACACATGGCATCTGGGATCCTTGGCTATTTATACCATTTTTCCCTCTGTATGTAGCCACCTGTATAAGAGGGAAATCAAGAGCAATGGTCACCTGAGAGCTGACTGTGCTATGTGCAGTGTCACTGCGCATCTTGAGGACAGGCCAGCTGAGCCCTCACCAATCTGGGTTTGACATCAGGTGACAAACACAGAGAGAAGCAGACATTCGTAATGGGAATCCACTAGTCCTGCTTGTCTTATTTGAAGTGAAACTCTCTAAATGTATGGGGCAGGAGAGAAAGGAGGTGAAAGGAGAGAGAGAAAATGAATGTTATAGTTCCCCTATCTGTTTTACCATTTGTTTCATAAGAAAATATGCTAAAGCACAAGTCACTTGATTTTATAAATTTTGTACCACACATCACTTTGGGAAACTACTGTGGGACCTAGAAGCTTTTGGGAATAACATAGTATAAACTGAAAAATGGTTGGTGTGTTTATGCCATGTCTTATAACTGACCACTAATTCCATAAATTAGTTTGTAGTTAATTCTCTCTTTGTATGTGTTCAGTAGGCTGCTGAGTCAAATATTTTACTGACTTTACCGACTTCAATTTGTGATAAGTACACTAGTCAAATACTGTGGTGATGTGCATTAAATGAGTTACAATGATTGAGTTATACAGTCTTCCCAGTGGACTGCTAATAAAAAAAACTTTATACCTCACAAACCATCATAATTCTGTACATGCCACATGAAATAAGGTATTAAAATGTTTTAGAGAGCTTTAAATTTTTTATTGGTACTTTTTTGGTATTTCTGTACCTATAAAGCTGGACTTTCTTAATTAGTAAAGGCCTATACTCAGGGGGAAAAAAAAAGGAAAATGTCTGGGAAATACTGGACCTTTAAATTTTAAGTATTCCAACTCTCATAGTTTTTGTTTGTCATACAGTTAAAGTATGCTTCGACCAATTGGTCATTTGTCCTAGGCAGAACGATCATAAAGATTAGCTAGTATATTAATTTGCTAGGGTTTTTTTTGTTGTTGTTTATTTTTGATTTAGCTTCAAAGTGAAATTAAGTGCTTGGTTTGGAGGAGTTATTTTATTTTTTCCAGAGATCTTGCTGCTCATTAAAAGATCACTGCAAGCAGAAAAGTCATGAGCTATTCTACAAATCTACATATTCTATTCTATACATTCAGTCAGAACATTCACAGCTGCAGATTGATGGGTCAGCAACATTCTTGTCAGAAAACATTCCTCATGAAAAGAAGCAATTGGACATTCCAACTAACTTGAAACTCACAAAGGAGCATATGAATCCTATGTTCCAAATCAATCAGGCAGTCATATTTTTTGCAAATGCTATCTTTTCCTCCTCTGCTAGTTTGTGCTTGAAAAAAGCACACGAGGCCTGCACATTTCCAAATGAAATCAAGAGCCATAGACATCAATGATAGAGTTATCTGCAGTTTAACCTTTTCTTGCAATTTAATTTTTCTACCTTGGCAGGTATGCAAATTGCAACAGATAGATTTCTTAATTAGGCACGTACCATGCCGTAATGCACATGGCTCTGTATACCTCTATAAAATGGCTTCTGCTTTACAGGTAGAGTGGAAGGAGAAGGGGGGCAAATAGAGGTGCCAGACCTCGCTGAGGTGGCAGCTGACTGAGGCTGTCTGCCAATTAATGGGACTTCTCTCTGAAAGACCCTAACTTCACTACAACTGATTGTTGTAGTAGCATCTCTTGGTTCCAATCCCAAGAAGCTGAGTCTCAGCTGTGCTTTTTCAGGTATTGATGATGTAACTTAGATTATAGACACATAATGGTGTTTAATCATTACCTTTGTTTTTTCCCCCATGGAGTCAGATACCTACCATGGACCCACTAACAACTGCTCATTTTCCTCTTTCCTTCTGTGCATGGGTTATTTCTGTCAGCTAAACTAGGTAGGCAAATTCAGGTGAACGGAAAAAGATGCAGTGCACCCTTTCTGCTTCCCTCTGTGGAGAGCAGCAGAAGACTCCTCCTGCACCTGCTTCTTGCTCATCTTTAGAGCTGAGATGTTCCAGACACTGCAAAGTGCTGCCCAGGCTTCCCAACAGTGTACTGATCAGGAGGCATCCACAAATACATTGAGGATGATTTCTTGCCTAGGGTCCACAGCAGAGCAAACTACGAAATAAAAAGTTACTAGGACAGTGGGAGCAGGACTTTAAACAGGCCCATCTAAGGCTACATCTGCATTGCAGCTGGAGGTCTGACTGCAGAATACCAAATAAGCTCAAAGTCACTGGTGAGAGGGGGATGGTGCTTGCTGCAGCAATGAAGCACCAGGACTTTGCCTATTCAGCTGCTGTCAGCAGTATTTTACCATTATCAAGACCTGAGATTAACTCTAGTTCTAACGCATGTTATGTAGCTCTGCTTGTGTCAGTGGACAGTAATGAAATGACCTGAAAGTGGTTTAGCATTGGCCTACTGCTCTCTGAATAGCTTTGTAGGAAAAGGGAACCAGAAAGATTTCCATGGGGGTTATGAATGTATAACATGTAGGAAGAAAAAGGATCATCAGCCTATTTGAATCCTATCAAATCTTTAAGATCCCACAGTATTTTGTCTTTGCATGTAAATCTTCATACCCAAAAATCAGGGCCTGCAAAGAAACACCGCACGATCACTGCTTGTGTAACTGATGGTATAAGAACAGAAGCAAAGCGCTTTTAATAGACACTGAAATATCACAATGTGTTTT